CATTTTAGAATAACTTAGTCTACATATGGAACTCTGATGTATTTGTGGTGGGTCCCAGAGGAGAAGTATTTGCTTGTTGGAACTGGGGTGAAATATCTCTCATGTTAGAGCTCATTCACCAGTAAATAAAAAACTGCAATTCCAAGAATAAATTAAAAAAAAAAAAAAAAAAGTAGTAGTTAATACACTTAGGAACTACCAAAATCCAGCAGAGAAAAAACAAAAACAGAAATAAATAACGCAATCTTGAAATCATTAGCTCTGTTAATAAACAAATATACATATATAAGCTCTTTATAGAAATTACTAAAATTATTTCCATGAGGAAAAAATCTGGTTGTTTCTACACTAGAAGGTTGAATTGAAGAAATCTTTATGTGCTGGTAATAAAAATATCCAGAATGACACACTGAACTCGAGCAGAATTTGCAAAAATACACCACATACAAATGTTAAGATATACCATTAAGAATCCTAGAAATGGAACAACAATGTAAATGGTGTAAATAGTGGATTACTTATTTCATGCACACAGACACTACTTAGTAAACTTTAGCAAATTTTGTCAGAACAAATTCTGGCTATGTTACAAATTTATATAATTTAAAAAGCTAAAAATGTCTGCAATCATTCTGTGACCTAAAAGTGAAATAGAGTTGAAGTAGTTATTGATCAAATTGTTATTGTTGTTCTCTACCTCTATTTATTACATATACTTGGAAACACATAATTATAGCACTTATATAGTACATAGTTGATTTATTAAAATAGTGAATAAAATGTTTTAAAATATTTTGCAAAAGCAGTGATTGACCCACAAAAACATAGTGATATCACACAATATATTTTATTAAATAACTCAAATGTTTATGTAATAAAAACAGATTGTTACCAATAGCACATATATTAAATAGGAAGAAAATGTCTTAAAATATGAAAGGAGAATATAAAACTAACCTGTAAAGAAACACTGAGAAATTTTTAACAAAATGCAAACTGGATGCTTAAAGAAGTATCCTTTAAACATCTAATAAATACTGTACACATCAACATGATAGGGCACTCTAAAATTACAATTTTAAATGAGATTAAATGAATCCCATTTATAAGATAAAAGGAAAACTGATTGTTTAGTTAGATTCTTATTAAATACAATTTCCTAGGTATCAGATTAATAATGAATACAGATGTAAATAATAAAACAGCTATAAATGTGGTATTTTACATATTGATTTAACAAAATGCAGTGAGCAAATAAGTATATTTCTATAGGTATTTAAAATACTTACTTAGCATATGGTTAAGTATAGCACCCTAGACAAAGAAGAGGAAGAAAATGATTTATGTTCATATGTCCTATGATCCATATAAAAAGCAATCGTTCATGTTTATCTGATTGCTGAGAATATACATATAAGTGAAAAAGAAAAAAAAAATTGATTTATTTCCTCCTGTGCCAGGTTAAAACAGGTTAAAAGCTAGTGTTCCAAAGGGTTTCTTTAACTTCTCTAATTTCCAGTTGATAATTTCACTAGGAGAGTATAATAAATAATTTTTAAAGTAACAGAAACAATTAAGTGCATCTCCTATGCATATAATTTGTAGCCAGATGATAAGCTAAGCTTCAGGAAGAAGAGATATATCCCCAACATGGGATTTGAAAAAGAATGTACTTTTTTATGATCAAGTTGATCCATAAACAAGCTATTTTTTATATCAATGAAACATTTTATTTAGATCCCTTCCGACTCTAGATAGGGTAAAATAAAATACTGACTCTAAACATAGATACTATTACATCTGTTCACTTTAAAGAAACCAACGGTAAATATTGAGAGAATTCATGGATTGGATTTTCTTACTTTTGCATTATTTCCGTGTAAAAAAAAAACTATACAAGAAAGATCTGGTCTTGAATATTAACATTACTTAAATAAAATCTCACTAGCAGCTTAAACACCTACACAAATCTATTAACCAGTAGTGAAAGATTCTTTCATTGAACAGTAGCCAGTTACTCATTTTAAAAGATGTTGAAAATGCAGATCTGTGGCCCATCTGTGGCCCATGAGTTAAATCACTTTTAACATAATACAAACATGCACAAAATTCTGCATTCTACCAATATCAGAATAACATTTACTATCAATAAAGACATATTCTATTCCTTATATTTTACAACAATTTTAGTGCAAACCACTTATATAAGCATTTTCTAAACAAAATAACTAGAAAATGTCTTCATAGAATTTTTCACAAATATAAGACTAATATGGAGGTCTTAAACATATTTTCATTAATGCCACTATAAACTTTTATCACAGCAGGAATGAATGAATGAGTGATCAGAAAGACAAAAATATTCTTTATACAAGAAAGTATATTAACTGAAAAAATATAAGGATAATTATCAAAATTCTAATTCATATTTAATGATCACTTAAATCATGGGAACACTTCAGGTAGCTACATCTGAACAGCCAGGTTACAAGATAAAAAGTGAAACAAAAAAAATGAAACACGAAATAAAAGAATTCACATAAAAAGACACAGTCAGGTCAAGTACCTCTTCACAGCATGAGAGAGTGATTCGACATTTCCATACCTGAACACGTCTGCTTTGTTCTTTAGTAAACTGATCTCCATCTGCTCATGTCCTTGGACATTTCTCAGCAGTACAACCTGCTGTGCTCAAGCCCCACATAACTTTGTATTTACCAGTTCATAATTAACTAATTATTCTCTAATCAATAGTGTAGATTTTCATTTTACAATGTAAATCAGATAAATGAGATAATGGCTGGGGGTCAATCTCATTTTATTTACAAAGCCCAGCATGAGCATCCAATTTCATTATACCTTATGTACCTGAACAGCAGTGAATCTTATCAACAGACCTGCAGAAAGTCTTAGAGGCAGTACTGGGAGAAAGAGGTCTACATTTTTATTAAGAATGTATTTGCAAAGCATGTCTATCTCAGAAAAAAATTTAATCAAAATCCTTAGTATATGTAAAATTTACAAAGTGCTGACTCAGATTATAGAAAAAGATTTCCGCCTTCACATGCCATACAACACTAAAGCTGAGTCTCATATACTGTTACAATCATCAAAAACTCTTTCAGAAAACAAAATTAATAATGTTAATACTCTGTCCTGCTGCAGAGTCCTTCCAAATTCCTTGAATAGATTTTGGTGAAATATTAATAAAATATTCCTATACTGTGAATCAAGTTTGTCAGTTTTGTCAAATAAAGAATATTAAATGTTTAAAAAGACAGTGGTATCATTAAGTAGTAGGACACAAAACCAGGAAATAGGATAATGGGTGTGAATATCCTTATTACTTATGGTCAGCAATCTATTTTTAATATTATAAATGTAAAATCAGATAAATATTCAAGAAACACATAATTAACAAGGATATACAAATGATACAGAAATATTATTTCTATATTTAAGATGGATAAAAGTTAAGGCTAAATTTTGTTTTCATGTTCAAACATAACCCTAATTTCAAATCTTTTTTTAAGGAATTAATTAATTATGGATGCAAATATATATGTCCCTTGATTCATTTCTGAATCTAAGGTACTGCTTCCCCCATAATAGGTACAAAATAAAATAAACATTTGTTTAACTGAATTTATAAAAATAAAGAAATTTTGTTGTATGTGTTGTGGATGAAACGACCACAAACTTTTTTATAGAGACACAAATCTTTTTGAAAGTGTAGGACCCTTTTAATGAGATTAAAACAACATTCAATCAATCAATGTCAACCACAACACAATGATTCTTTAAAAAATATTATATACAAATGGTTCTCAAAGTGGTGTCCCTGGCCAGCAGCATCAGCATCACTTGGGAACCCATTAAGAATGTAAAATATAAGGCCTCACTGCAGACCCACTAAATCAGAAATTCCTGGGAGCCAGGAGGAGGGAGTGAAGTGGAGAGAAGGAAGGGAATGAGGGAAGTAGAAAGAAATCCTGTGCGTCAGATGCACTGTAAGTTTGAGAACCACTGCTACATACTGCCATGTCATTCTTTTTGTATTTCAGTCATTTAATTTCCTTTCTGGTGTTTTAGTATCTTTGTTTGCCTTTCTCTATTGCATAACAAACAGCCATCATTTACCTGTTGTGCTGTTTTTGCTCACTATGTCTGAATTGATTCATATTTTATTAAGTACTATTAATATTTCCTTGACTAGCAGCTGGACCAATTGTGGAAAAAGATTAATTTTATACTATAAAGATATGAGAGCATTTAGGAGATTATTAGGAGAAAATATTTTGTACTCCCTTCAAAAGTTCTCAAATTCCAAAAAAATACTAGGACCAATAATTTTGAGTTATGCAGTTTATGTTTGTGATGTGTAACAAAGATTCTTAGGGCTAGCACCAAATCTGGAATAGCCAATCTACCACTGAAGACTGCAAGTTGGAGAATAATGATTATGTAGTATCCTAATTAGAACCAAGGGGGAAAGGATTTTGATTAATCGTGATACCAAAACCACAAGACTTAATGATGTCTCAAGAAATCTAAAATAAAATCACTAGTAGTTTCTCACCATATATCAAAGAAGGGCCAGGGTCTAACACATTAGCAAATTCTTTTCAGAAAATGGCAATCTGTAATTTTTCTTAAAACCAGGTGGAGTTCAGCAATAGTAATAATTATCAATATTAATAAACATATAGTAATAAATAATCAGTCCTTATTCTTAAAAAAAAGCTACTGGTTTTGTTATAGGTTATTTAATATTTTCCCTCCAATGTTATAAGATATTTTGATAAGTTAATCTCAATTTATACACGTTTTATATACATATTACTATTAGTAAACATCTTATCCCATAATATGGTTGATTACTATAACTATAGATTACTAGCACACAGCCACTTTTTTTTACACTTGCTTTTGATTATCTATCACATTGCCTACTCTATTTCTAAAGTTTAAGCGATTTTCAGTTGCGACTATACTTGAAAAGATGTCCAAAACCACATTTACAAATCAGGAAATTCCAAGAAACCAGTTGAGAATTTACATGTATATGTGCATTTCAATTTCAGCAAAAAGTCTTTTCTAAATCAGTTCAAGATGGAGTGATGAAATATTCAACATATGTCTGTAGTTGACTTAAAACTCGATCATTAAAGCTTGAAGATCAAATTTTAATTCTGTAAACCTCTGGAAAGGTAAAGATGTTGATGGAGATCTTTCAGCTGGCGGGTTGTATAGGAAATAACTTTGTATATCCCTCCTTATTTCTTAACCTCATCCTTAAGGTTGAAGAAAAAAAATTATACTGAACACAGAAAGTCTGTATTAAATCAAAGACTGAATAAGTTTGAGAATTACTAAAAAATATCTAGAGATCAACACAGATATACTCTTACTTAGGAGCTTAACATCTGAAGCGCTAAAAATTTCATGCTTATAATTTTAGTGCTTTCACACAAGGACTAATGAGCCAAACCTAGAATACATATGCTTTACAAATCTTTCACTTCTACTGAATATTATAAATAGAAATGTTTAATGTAAGAGTCTATAGTTGTTTCTCAATGCAGCAATTAATATATGAATAGTATTTAGTTGAATGGAACAGGATAGCAGACTAATGGAATGCATTGTCTTTCTTGTTTGTTACTGGTATTGTTCAACAACAGCGATAATAGCACATTGCATTTAAGTCCCATAGGCTTCCACAACTCTTCAGCAAGTCCAAATACTGTGTATCATCATTTGCCAAAGAAGCATGAGGGAAAAACATTACTTAATAGGACAATTCCAACAAGACATTATCTATTACTTTTCAACAATGCACATATCAAATATTTCTGATTAGTGCAAAAAAAGAAAAGAAAAAATCCGCACAGGTGAATTAAGTGCCTTGTTAGTCCAAGTAACAAACCAATCAGTTACATTCTATCCAAACCTGACAAGCAAAGGCAACTTTTTGCTGCGATAAGCTTATGGGAAGGACAAGATAGCTGTTCTCCTTTACTTTATGTACTCTATTGACAGTGTTATCCACATTTTTAAAATCACACTTATAAAAGAGGTTTCCAGGATTGCCTCCGAGGATGAGCTGTGGCAGAGTTGGGTCTCATGAAGGGTATCTACACAGTAAAGTGATAAGAAAAGAACATTAACATTTAAAGATCATAGCAGCTCTGCACTATGTCTTATGAAACATACTAACAACACCACAGTAGATTCAAATAACATATGATCTGGTCCAAAGAGATAGATACCTAAACCAAAATGCCACGATCTTGTGTAGGTTCTTACTGGTTAAAACGGAACTAATTTTTCATTTGAAATATTGAGTTGCCTCCTCTTGTATTATTATTACTTTTAGTTGTCAAAATAAATCTACCTTACTAAAACAAAAAAAAAGAATATATAAATCTGATGAAGGGTTTGTATTTATGTAAGCAAACATGTGTTTGCTTAATAAAGGTCTTGAAAAATAGCAGTTTGCTATTTTTTCTCCATCAAATATGGCATTTTAACAATGCTTGTAACTATGCTGAAAACAAGTACACCAGCTAGTATGTACAGGGCTGGTTCTCCCCAACTCTGGAGTCTCAGGGAGGACATTTTCAAATGATTCTTATTCCCCGTGCCAACATTGCCTCCCTTTTTAAAAAACTATACCAGAAATGTTTGGTTACAATTGTGAAAACTCTATCCCTAACTAGCTAGTTTAGTGAATTGCGCAACAAAAATGACAGAGAATACACCACACTGTAAACCTGGTCATTGGTTATAAATGCACCAATTTTAGTCAAATTTTCAAAACTCAGACACTTGCATTTATTTCTCAGAACTTTTTCTAGTGTTTCTTGTATTGACTCCCTCTATCAACATATATTAATTTACTACCATTGTTCCTTTATTTTTGGAGGGGAAATTATAGGTGCTTAGTGATTAGTATATTTTTTTTTACTAGGGTAAACTTAAAAATTGATCATTTCCTTCAGATATTTATATCAGTGTACATGAGGTGTAATTGCCAAATAGTCACACATCATAGAAGAAGTTCCCTTTAATATTTAACTATTGGAGAGATGTGTTTAATGCTTCTAAGTTCCACTGAGAAAAAGAAAGTGAAAAGTGGCATGATCACACACAAAAAGCACTACCGAGAAGAGCTCCCATGCTGAAACGAGTAACTGCAAAGAAAGCCAAAACAAAACTGTACAAGGAAAAAAAGAATATAATGGGAAAGTTTTTAGAGAAATGTACTCATCAACCAACATATGAAAATTAGAGCTGAATCCCCTAGTTGTATAACAGAGAAGTAGATAGGAAGATTTGAATTCCTTTGTTGAACAGTTGCATGTGCTAACTTTTCTCAATGCTTCAGTCTCTCAGTAAGAGCTTTAAGCACATTCTGTACCTAATATTCTGAGAATTACTTTGTCGACAAGGTAAACACTACTAGGTCAGCACAATGCAAAAGGAAATAACCACATCATTTATCACAGAAGTACAATTAACTCTTAATTATACAGGCACAAATGATGGAGGCTAGCAGACAACACAAAAGAAATACTTGTATTTAATTTTGATGTGAATATGAATATGAATATAAACACATTGGGTATTAGGAAATCTGCATTAACCATCAATTAAATATAAGTTGAAGTTTAACTTTGAAGAAATCAAAAAAGCTATTGCTAATATTCTCCCATCCTAAAATTTCACTTAATATTCCAAATCTCCCTTAAAGCCAGAATAAGCAATGTGACTTGTTTTGGCTGCTATCTTCCTAGGATAAAAGACTTCTGGTCTTTTACTTCAGAGATCAAGTTTTTGGCTTTGTCTTCATTCCATATGCAACTAGAAAGCTTACTTATAAATGTAAACAACAACAACAACAAAATGAACTCATTTCAAAGGACTTCCCTGATGATGCACCTGTAGTCTATGTCTTATATAGCTGGGATTGCCTGCCAAGAAGCATCTACTTCTTTTGCCCTGACAGATTCAAATATGCTGAAACAGTACAGGTGGTGAGGCAGTATGCCTTCTAGAGCATGAGCTACACAGTTCAGACTGCCTAGACTCAAACACTAATTCCACCACTTTCTAGCTCTGTGATTTTGGGCAAGTAATTCTAATTTTCCTCACCCATAAAGCAGGGATTAAATTAATACCTATCTTATGAAGTGACTGTGAGGATTACTTGAGATAAAGTACAAAAAGCACCAGAACACTGACCAGCCCATAATACATGAGAACTCTATAAATCTCAGTAGATTAACCAAACACTATAATAGTGTTCATTGGAAGGGACGACATTGTATTTTACTACATACTTAATTTACATAGTATAATTTCCATATATAATTGGAATAATTTCTATTTCATGATGCTTAGTGTCTCTGTACCTCAGTTACCTAATCTCTAAAATGGAGGTGTGTATACCTCATGGGACTGCTGCAAAAACTGAATGAGCTAATACATTTAGAGAGCAGAGAACAGTCTGGGACATAGTAAGATCTAACATTAGCATTATTTTAATTCTCTGTCAATAAAGACTTTAACATTTGTCTGGATTTAATTACAAATATTAAAAATATAAGATTCCTATATATTATTATCTAGATATCAAAATCTATCAACTCCAAACTGTATATCCAATCTTATTTTCAAATTCATTTCACTTTTAACTTTATTATTATATCCATTTCATATGTCCAAAACTATATAAAAATAATACAAATCAAAACCTTGTTGTGGGAGGAACAGATGAAAAAAAAAGTATGGTTAATAAAATAAGAAAAAATAGAAAACAAAATACAGCAGGTCCTTGAATAACGTTGTTTCATTCAGCATAGTTTTATTATAATGTTGTTAGGATGATGTGGGAATGTAAATCTTGTTTATATCAATTAGTCTATGGTAAAACCAGTTTTGTTTTTATTTCAAGTCGCAGAACGTATGCATGACAGTAAGTGAGGACTTACTGTTGTTGGTTTCTGATATTAGAAGCTGGATTATGCTTGTTTCCTGTGACTCCAAGGGCTGAAATTATTGAGAGACCTGTCAGCTCACTTGGAGAAGAAAACTACCAATGGTCAGAGCTGCCTCCAGAGGGAATAGGTTACTTACACACTTCTGTCCCCAGCAGAAGCTCGCTCTCTGTCGCTTAATAGTGACACTGGGCAGATGATTCAAGTCTCAGGTGAATAGTGGGATAACAGACTTGGAGAGCATTTTCAGGACTGTATAATGCTTGTTTTGGCATCTCTTTGAGTAACAAAAGTTATAAAATGACTTTAGTGGTAACTTAATTCAAGGTCATTCATCTATCTAGCCAGTAACATAATGGTGGCTACTCTCCCAATCTTTCCAAACAACTCAATACATAATAAGCAATCCCTTCTGTAAAAATTAACAACATTAACACACTGCAATAAAATATAAGTAAAAAATTACAAAAGCAAATTTTACTAAAAAATAAATGAATGAAACGAGAAATATTTCATTGCTATGTGTGCTTGAAATTATGATGTTTGCTACTCTAAAACTGCATACTCCAGAAATACCACACTTCACTATGTAATTAACGGATACCATGTTCAGGCTTCTGTTTAATTTAAATATGAATTACTTGTCAATAATGCATTTATTATTTTTTAATTTAAAAATTAAAATATTAACACAATATAAAAATATTTATGAATCATGAAAGTTACTTAAATATTTAGTATTTCAATACAGATTTTGAAAGTCAGGGAATGTCATACATTAAATACTAAATGTGTGAGGCAGGCTAGCCATTCCACACATCTAACAAAATCATCAAATCAACTTAATTATAAAAGAAAAAATATACTGAGTAAACATTTTCTTCTTAATCCAAATTTTATTAGAATACTACCTTAATACAAAAAAATTAAGTGGCAGCTTGGCTACTTTAGTTATATAAACACAAATATTTCAAAAATTAAATAGCCCTTCCCCAATTTTTACTAATAGAAAAGCAGTCTTAAAAAAATAACTTTTAAGTAAAGTTTCCTTCACAAGACCCAGTTTATTTTCTAACTTCCTCTTTAGAATTTCTTCTTGATGCACAACACAGCATCATTTTAGGTCTAAAAACATTAACCTAAATCATTGATCAGAGTTTTTTATAAAGTGAGATGTATGGCAAAAGGCCATATTCTTGGTGGTAGGTATGGCCAAGTAACTTATAAGAACAGTTATATAAAACATTCAATTTTAGATGTTAGACTGTTCTGTGTATAAGACCTCTCCATTACCCTAAATTGCTCAGCAAATGCTCAAGACAACCTTCGAAAAATGGCTATTTGGAGAATAAAGAAAGAACAGCTGATTCCAGTGGAGAATAAAGAAGCAAGAGAATATATGGCCTTCTCTGAATATTAGGATAATGGTGGGCTTTCCACAGTGACTGGAGTTCCAATTTGGGCCATTTATCAGGCAAGAGAAAGCCCCAGAAGGTTGGGGAATTGAGACATACGAGAGGTACAGAATGTGGTTATACATTAGCAATAAAAATGAGGAGAGCCAAGGCAAACAGATCCAAGGAGGCTAAACAGAAGTGAGAAACAAAAGAGCACAGGAGGAAAGAGTGAAGCAGCTAAGGCATACAGAATGACGTCGTACAGAATAGTGAAACAAACAGTGAGAAAGGTCTCGAGGAAACCACAAGAAGAGGAAGGAGAGGAAATGGATATCGAGAAATGCTATAATGAGCCTGGCTGGTGTGGCTCATGGATTGAGAGGTTCTGGTTCAATTCCTGGTCAGGACACATGCCCGGGTTGTGGGCTCGATCTCCAGTAGGGGGCAAGCAGGAGACAGCTGATCAATATTTCTCTCTCACATTGATGTTTCCCTCTCTCCTTACCTCTCTCTCAAAAAATAAACAAAAATAGCCCTGGCCAGTTTGGCTCAGCGGTTAGAGCGTCGGCCTGCGGTCCGGAGAGACCCGGGTTCGGTTCCCGCTAAGGGCACGTACTTCGGTTGCAGTTTGTCCCCGGCCCTGGTTGGTCGTGCGGGTGGCAGCCACTCGATGTGTCCCTTCACGTCGATGTTTCTCTCTCTCTCTCCCTTCCTCTCTCTCCCTCCCACTCTATCTGT